TCACGGCGCGGGCGTCTGCTGACGGCACGGAGAGTCGCCGCCGCCGCTGAGACTCGGCCAAGCTGCTGTCGCTGTCACCGCTGCTGCCGCCGCCACTGCCACCGCCGCCGCCGCCGCCGCCGCCGCCGCCGCCGCCGCCATGGCTCAATACAAGGGCGCCGCGAGCGAGGCGGGCCGCGCCATGCACCTGATGAAGAAACGGGAGAAGCAGCGCGAGCAGATGGAGCAGATGAAGCAGCGGATCGCCGAGGTGCGGGCCGGGCCAGGCCGGGGCGCCTCCGAGCATGCGCGCCGCCCACTGCCCGGGCCCACTGGGTCCCCGCGCGACCCTGGGCGGCGGGCGTAGACCGCTGGGTCCGGCCCGACTTTTTCTTGCTGACTTCCAGCAAGGGGCAGTAGCGAGCCAGCGACAGTCTGCTCATCTGTAAAATGGCCCCAGAAGGCTGTGCCGAGTTAGCTTGTGACAAGCCTCCAACTGGAGGGAGCCACACTCAATGGTTCCAGTGGTCACGTTGGGGCACCCCTCGCGGGCACAGAGCATCTTGGCTCTGGCTCCTCAGCCCTGAGAGCAAGGTTTCTGCCCTGAGCCAGGGGATACAGGGAAGGGCAGGTGCCGCAGGCTCTTGCCAATCCCCTGGTCACTGAGGCTCACTCCAGAGCCCTTTGCACTGTGGAAAAGGCAGGCCCGAGCATTAGGGGTGCTAGTGGTTCACAAAGAGCTTCTGTGAGTGGGTGGCGGGTGGGCAGGAAGGAAGGATCCCTCCGCCTCGGCATTTGCTTGCAGCGACTCCTTTGGAAGAGCACGGACTCAGTGCAGTAAGGGAGAGCAGACTCCGCCTGCCACAGGTACTGTGGAAGTCGAGCCCAAGGAAGTGGCCTCAGTTCATGCTGGACCCAGACCCATGGCCTCAGTCCTGACCCTCTGGCCAGCCAGCGGTGCCTATCTCCGCTGGCCACATCCTCTGGAGGCCACTGGCCAGAGAGGGACTTATGTGGGATGGAGCTGGGCTGGAGTGAGGACATCTCACGGGAAGCTGTTGGCAACATGTGGAGTAGAGAGGGAGCAACATTATTCATTGAGGGACTAGGCCCCTTGGCCACTCTTTACTCTGCTGTCACCCCTTGGCTTGGGTCTCCAGAGCTTCAGCTTAAAGGCTGGTTTTGAAAAATGTCAAATGCAGGTGGTAGAGTCCATGGCTCCAGGCCACTGAGGGAGCTCTGGTCGCCAACACGAGGCATGGGTGGGGGGCAGAGCAGTTCAGAGGTCACAGGGAAACAACCCCATTTGACTCCCTCAGCACTGAAAGAGCCCCTCGTAGTCCTGTGGAACCTTCCATCAACCGAGGAGATGGGATGTGTCTTTCCCAAGGTCACGTAGTGAGGGCAGGGGCAGATCTGGGACTGGAACCCAGGCCGGGGTCCCCACTTCAACCGTGGGGTGGTGGGTGGCCCTCACTGCTACTCTCCCTCCTGACAGGAGAACATAATGAAATCCAACATTGACAAGAAGTTTTCTGCACACTATGATGCCGTGGAGGCAGAGCTCAAGTCCAGCACCGTGGGTGAGCAAAGCACGCATGCCACCCTCCTGCACCCAGAGGCCTGTTGCTTCACTGGCTCTGGGTGACCGACCCGTACCCTCATGTCTCCTCGCCTCGTAGGACTTGTGACCCTGAATGACATGAAGGCCAAGCAAGAGGCGCTGGTGAAGGAGCGGGAGAAGCAGCTGGCCAAGAAGGAGCAGTCGAAGGAGTTGCAGCTGTGGGTCCCTTCATTCCCACCGGCAGCCCTCCATTTGAGATGTAGCTAGTGCTTAGGGTCAGGTCAGGCTGTTCCTGCACCTTGAAGTCATAACCAGAGCTCTGCAGTAGTACTCCTCAGGGTCTGCACCACATGGGCCCCACACTGAGCACACAGGTGGCTCTGGGTCAGGGAAGGGGCCTCGGTGGGGACGTGGTGCATGATGGTTATCCGTGCCTTGGCAGGAAGCTGGAGAAGCTGCGAGAGAAGGAGCGCAAGAAGGAGGCCAAGCGGAAGATCTCCAGCCTGTCCTTCACCCTGGAGGAAGAAGAGGAGGCTGGCGAGGAGGAGGAAGATATGGCCATGTATGAGGAGGAGCTGGAAAGGGAAGGTGAGGGCAGGTTTGGGGCACCAGGGAGCGGCACTGCCTGCAGAGCTGTGTCCTGGGTTTCTGGCTCTAGAGTGAACACGCACATCCACCATCCAGCCTTGATCGCCCACTGTGTTCATGGTCCCAAACATCGCATGTCGGGACAGGAGAGAGAGCCAAGTTTGCACTGTGTGCCAAGCTGAGTTGGGGTGAGGGCTCGCCTTTAGTAGTGTGAGTAAGAGCCAGGCGTGCGGCCCCTGGTCAGGGGTGTAGGGTCTTCAGTGTGAGAGGCTGCCTTCCCCCCGGGCACCCACCCCTTTTTGGATGCTCTACCCCTCCAGTGCAAAGGAGCCTTTGCTCCCTTAGACATTGGCACTCCTGCCTTAAGTCCTCCGAGGTTCTCCAGGTCAGAGCTGATGGGACAAGAACGTAGTACCTGGTCTCCTGTCCAGCTGCTGGCATTGGAGACCAAAGCGAAGGCCCCTTGGCAAGGGCACCTCTTAGGTCTCCACAGGTATGAGGTTGAATAATTAAGTTTGCAAACTCATCCTAGAAAAAGTGCTCCATCCCTCATTGCTGAAAATCACTTTGAAGGACTCCCCTTGGGAAGCTATGCACCTAGCACCTAGTCCACCCTTCCAAGCAATTTTGGAACTCTTTTTCTGGAATGGCCATCAGAGCCGCTGTTGTATTACCCTTGATGTCCTGAAAGTCATCAAAATGCCTCGCTTTCAATATTTCCTTTATCTTTGGCTAAAGAAAGAAGTCATTGGGGGCCAGATCAGGGGAGTCGGGAGGGTGTTCCAATACAGTTATTTGTTTACTGGCTAAAAACTCCCTCACAGACAGAGCTGTGTGAGCTGGTGCATTGTCGTGATGTAAGAGCCATGAATTGTTGGCGAAAAGTTCAGGTCGTCTAAGTTTTTCATTCAGCCTTTTCAGAACTTTCAAATGGTAAACTTGGTTAACTGTCCAGTTGGTACAAATTCATAATGAATAATCCCTCTGATAACAAACAAGATAGCAATATCATTGCAACAAGTTCATGAACTTAATTGTCAGACCGCGTATTGTGAAGAGGACAGTGCAGGCTGCTGTGGCCGGGAGCAGAGAGCAGTGTGTCCCAGCCAGGATGGCCCAGGAAGCCTCCAAGGAGGTGGTGTTTAAGCTTTGGTCTGAGAATCAAAGGTCCAGGGTGCCCTGGAACCAGGACCCATCATGCAGCTGACTCCTGTGTTTTCTTTGGCTCCAGAGATCACCACGAAGAAGAGGAAATTGGGGAAGAACCCAGATGTGGACACAAGCTTTTTGCCTGACCGAGACCGTGAGGTAAAGGCAGCCTGACCCCAGTCCTGGCACTGACCTTGGCAGAGGCTTTTGCTCAGGGAGCAGGGCCCTGCATGCCCCCTGAGCAACCCTGGGTCTCCCTCCGATACCCATTTCCTCTCCCAGGAGGAGGAGAATCGGCTCCGGGAAGAGCTGCGGCAAGAATGGGAAGCCAAGCAGGAGAAGATCAAGAGTGAGTGCTCACCATTGGGACGCGCATGACCCAGCCTGGGGCAGTGCGAGGCCGGGACTGGGGGCTGAGCCCCAGGGATCTTGTGGGGTGTAGGGACACTTGGTTCTGGAGGCTAAGTGGCAATTCTGTTTTGTAGGTGAGGAGATTGAAATCACCTTCAGTTACTGGGATGGCTCTGGGCACCGGCGGACAGTCAAGGTTTGCCATGTGGGCCCTGCACCCTGCTCCCGGTGCCCCTGGGATTCACTGAAAAGGAGCTTTAATCCTGACTTTGGAGGCTGGCCCCTTCATGTGGGTGGCCCCTGGGGATCCTGGGGGGAGCCGGAAAGAGGGCCCAGCCAGTTGTAGGGCTAGTGAGGGCTCCAGGGTCCCTGGCATGGGCCTCCAGGGCACTGCCTTCTTTAGAGCCCTTCTCCATCTTCCCCTTCCAACTCCTTGGTGTCCTGGGTGCTGACTCTCGGGTCTGCTTCGCAGATGAAAAAAGGCAACACCATGCAGCAGTTCCTACAGAAGGCGCTTGAAATCCTGCGCAAAGACTTCAGTGAACTCAGGTAGGGTGTGTGTGAACGCGTGAATGTATGTGCACGTGTGTGAGCATGTGCGCGTGCGTGTGGATCCTGCAGCCCCAGCCCTGGTACCAGAACCCCCGAGTGGTTGCTGCTGCTTGTGGCACACCAGATGACTGCTCCCTGGGTAGGAAGGTGGCGTGTTGGCACTGTGTTCCTGAGTGGAGGGTCAGGATCCTCTTGCCATCCTTCTCACCATAGACAGTTTAGGTGGGAGCATTGGCCTTCGCTCTTCAGCCCCGAGGTGGAGGACAGCTAGTGCTCTCGCAGGGCTCCCCAAACCTAGCCTGCCTCAAAGCATTCAGGGCTGCCGCCTAGCTCTGGCGCCCGTCTCCTTGCCCGGCCACTTCTTCATCCATCTATGCCCTCCTGCCTTTCTCTCTCAGGTCAGCAGGGGTGGAGCAGCTCATGTACATCAAGGAGGACCTAATCATACCCCATGTGAGTCCCCTCTCTCTCCCCCCAGCCCCAGGCAGGGTGGCAGTGGGAGGCGCGGTGGGCTTTGCCATGCCTGGGGGCTTCGTGGGGCAGTCTTCGCTCTGCTCTAGGTCTTTGGCTTGGGTCGGGGGGCACAGTGTGTGTAGCTGTACCTGCGTCCAGTCGGCAGGCGGGTGGCAGAGGCTGAGATGGGTCATCAGCTATGATTTTCCTGCTCTGGGCTCCTAGCACCACAGCTTCTACGATTTCATCGTTACCAAGGCGCGAGGGAAAAGTGGTGAGTGTGCCTGACCCAGCCCCTTCCCTTCCCCAGCCACTCGCCCCCAACATGTGAGGGCAGCAACCTGAGGGTTGGCTGGCTTCTTCTTTCCTGCAGGACCACTCTTTAATTTCGACGTTCATGATGACGTGCGGCTGCTCAGTGATGCCACTGTGGAGAAGGATGAGGTACAGCAGTGCAGGGGCACTGGGCCGGGGGAGGGAGGGGCATGGGGGGGCCTGAGAAGTTGAGAAGTCAGGCCCCCAGGTGGCCCTGAGCCACCAGGCCTGACCCTTCTTCCCTCAGTCACATGCAGGCAAGGTGGTGCTACGGAGCTGGTATGAGAAGAACAAGCACATCTTCCCCGCCAGCCGCTGGGAGCCCTATGACCCTGAGAAGAAGTGGGACAAGTACACGGTGAGGAGGCCCCTCTGAGGTGGCCCTGGTGCTGGGCTGGCCGTGGGTGGGCTGCATTGTCCTGCTAGAAGACCATAATCGATGGGCCAGCCCATCCCTGCTCAGCTCAGCTTCCCTTCTCTGTCCCCTTGTCCTCACACCAGATCCGGTGAACGCAGAGGTGGAACTTGACTCCCCCCGGTTTCCTCCAGTCTCCCCACAACCCCGGGTCTCCAAGACTCCAGGCGCCCTGCTTCCCTCTCCCATGACATGACTGATCTGCCCCTGCCCCGATGCTGTCATTTACCATTTTTTTCTTTTATGGTAAACATATATACATGTTACAGTCAGAGTACCTGTACTGTGTTTTGTTTTAAAAAACATTTATTGAGATAAAATTCACATATGAAATTCACCATTGTGGCCATTTGAAACTGTATAATTCAGGGGTATTTAGTACATTCACAATGTTGTACAAACATCACCTCTGTTTAGTTCCAAAATATTTCCAACACCCCAAAAGGAGACCCTGTACCCATTAGCAGTCTCTCCCAGCCTCTGGCAGCCCCTAGTCTGCTTTCTGTGTGTAGGAATTTGCCTTTTCTGGAAGTTTCACATAAATGGAATCATACAATATTTGTGGTCATTGTGTCTGGCGAGAAAGTGTGTGTTTGGTGGGGTGGGAGGGTAGAAGGGGATTGGGTAGGAATGTGAGGCTTTGGAGAGAGAAGGGGGGGCATTTGCAACCCACGGGGGCCCTGGACAGGCCCGGCTGTCTCTGCAGCCAGCCCGCCCTCCCCAGGGCACTTACGTGGCATTGCGGTTCTTTCCTGTGGGTGGGAGGGGCGTTCCATTCCAGGCCTCCCTCCCTGGCCCTTGGGCTCCTCTTGTGTCTCCTAGCTGCGCGTTCCATAGAGGACAGGGCCGTCCTGTGGCTCCCAGCCACTCTACATTGCTATCATAGCTATGCAAGCCCACCAACGTTGCCCTCCTTGCTCTGGGCCCTTCTTAGCATCTCTCCCCAGTCCCGACATGGGAAGGTCACTATGGGTGCCCTGCTCAGACTGCCCTGGGGCTGGTCACTGTCACGGCCCCAAGGGAGGAATATGGCTTGGGGTGGGTGCTCCCCAGTTCTTGCGTAAGCTGAGACAGCCAGGCCTGGCTCCAAAGGCTGAGGAAGGCAGGCTGACCACTCCTGGCTCCCGTCCTTCTTCCCCGTGCCTGAGGCCAAGCAGAGGGGACAGGGGACAGCCCCTGGCTAGTGGGGAGCTTCCCAGCTTGGTCTGGCCCTACCTACCTGGCAAATCGTGGGCTTTGCTGGGTACAGAGGCTCTTGTGCTCTTCCATGGGCAGGGCCCTGTGTCCCATTCAGCCATAGTCTGGGGAGGCCTGGCTGGCAGCTAGGAGCTCTCAGGCTTCCAGGCCCTGGGTCTGGGATGGGGCCATCTGGGGTCACTTGGAGGAGGGTAGAGTAGGCCAGAGCGCCTTGGGGCACAGCAGGGAGGGGGTGGCCAGGCCTGACCCCAGGTCATGGACAAGTCTGGGGACCTCAATGGGACCATTTGTTTGGCTTCGAGAACCCTGGAGAGGGGATTGTTTGGCCTTCTGCACCACCTCCCCCTCCTGCCTTTGAGAAGCCACCAGAAGAGCAGGCTTCCCAGGGAAAAGGAGCCCCTCTCAGCCAGCCAGCTCACCCAGTGGTGGATGTTTTCTGAGGGAGCCGCCTTCAGCCTCACAGCTCTGGCAAACAAGCTCTTTGAGGCCCAATCTTTGTCCTGACAGGGAATGACCTGATTTCTGGGAGCAGCCCTAAGTCCCTGGGAGGTCGGGCTGGGGCAAGAGGGAGCCCTTTGGGGTCAAGGGGGCAGGGAGACTGTCATGGAAGGAGACCTACTTCCTTGTGGGCAGCAAAGAGATGGGAAAGGCTGCACCATGGGGGGGGGTGCCCAAGGGAGGAGCTGCTAGTCCTAAGTAAAACTGTGGTGGCCAAGCTGGAAGAGCATTGGCGGGGCAAGCTTCTTACAAATGTACCGCTAGGGGCACCTGGCCTCACTCCTGAAGGCTGGCACAGGCAGAGTGGAACTGTCTAGGCCCAGGGCTCTTCCCTTGGAACCTTGGATTCATGTGAATGTGGAGCTCAGTTGCTATCTGATGCTCTGGGACTACATGAGGTCAGTGAGTGGTCACCAATATTTCTGGGGACCAGTGTGCCAGAGGTGGGCACCCCTTGATTTCAGACTTCTGGCCTCCAGAACTGGGAGACAAGATCCGTGTGCCACCTGCCTTCTGAGGGCCCAAGACACTGCGGCTATGCACACAGTCCAAATATCCTGGGAAGTGCACCCCCAGGAGAAACCAGCTCGACCAGTATGCCATCACCAAGGTCCCCAGCTACTAAGTCAACCATGAAGAAGATAGAAGACAACAGTACAGTTATATTCATTGTGGATGGCCAGGCCAAGAAGCACCAGATCAAACAGGCTGTGAAGAAGCCCTATTATGAAAATGCAGGGCCGGCCGAGTGGCGCGATAGTTAAGAACTGGCTTGGGACGCCAGAGAGCCCCAGTTCAGATCCCACATATGAGGGCTGGTGACACTGCCCTCCACAAAAAAAAATGGAAAGACAAGCCATTGGCAAGTCCAAAATTTGTAGAGCAGGCCAGCAGACTGGAGACTTCAGGCAGGATATCTACATTTAATCTTGAGGCAGAATTTGTACTTCTTTCTCCAGGAAACTTCAAATTTTGCTATTAAGGCCTTCAATTGAGTGGACGAGACCCACCCACATTATGAAGGGTAACCTTTTCTCAAAGTCAACCGATTGTTGAGGTTGACTACTTCTACAAAATATCTTCACAGCAACACCAAGATGAGTGCTTGATGAAATCACTGGGGACTATAGACGAGCCAAATTGAAATTAATGAACACATAACATTAATCATAACAAAATCCCATGTTCACGGCTAAAAAGACTTAACCTTGTTAAGATGGCAACATTCCCCAAAGTGATCTACAGATTGAATTGAATCCCTATCAAACTCCCACTGGCTTTTTTTTTTTTTTTGCAAGAACTGACAAGCTCATCCTAAAATTCACATGGAAATGCTAGGGACCCTGAATAGCCAAACCATTCTAGAAAAAGAAATTTGGAGGACTCGCTGACTCTTGAGATATGGGATTATGGGTGGGGACAATAATGTGTAGACAAACCCTGTGAGACCCTGGACGGGGCATAGCCCACAGGACAAGGGGAACTTCCCAGCCTGGGCCCCAGGAGCCTGGCCAGGACTCACATTTCCTGATTTCAAAACTTACTACAAAGCTACAGTGATCAAGACAGTGTGGTACTGGCATAAGGATAGACATAAAGATCAGTGGAACAGAATTGAGAGTCCAGAAACAAACCCACATATCTACTGTCAATTGATTTTTTTGATGAGGTTGCCAAGGCCATTCAATGGGAAAAGCATAGAATATTCTCTTCAAGAAATGGTGCTAGGGGCCAGCCGAGTGGCGCGATGGTTAAGAACTGGCTTGGGATGCCAGAGGGCCCCGGTTCGGATCCCACATATGAGGGCCAGTGACACTGCCCTCCACAGCTAAGATGCTGAACAACAGCTCAACCTGGAGCTGGGCTGCCGTGAGTCGCCGGCGACGGCGTAGGCTGCAGCCCCTGTGGCAGTGGGTTGCCATGGGCTACCGTGTGTAGCCAGCAGCCAGCGTGAGCGGCCAGCAGCCAGCGTGAGCGGCCAGTAGCCAGCGTGAGCGGCTGTCCAGAAGCCGGCGACTGATCTGCCTCACCCGGGAAGAGCGCAATGATGGTGCCAACTTGGGCCAGTGAAGCCACGTCCTCCACAACTAGACTGAAGAACAAAACAACAGCAACTTGTCTGTGCTCCTTCCCCCAACTCCCCAGCGCTGTTCCCATCCCCCCAATTCCCCAATAAAAATCTTTAAAAAAAAAAAAAAGAAATGGTGCTAGGACAACTGGATAGTAACCACATGCAAAAGAATGAAGTTGGACCACAACCTCATATCATATACTAAAACTAACCCCAAATGGATCAGAGACCTAAATTTAAGAGTAAAAACTATAACACTCTTAGAATAAAACATAGGGGTAAACCTTTGTGAACTTGGTTAAAATAATCGTTTCTTAATATGACAACTAAAGCACAAACTAAAGAAAGATATTAGCCATCATCAAAATTTAAAACTTTTGTGCATCCAAGTACACTATCAACAAAGTGAAAAGAGAACCCACAGAATGAGCGAAAATATGTGGAAATCATATATATATATATATATATATATATATATGATTAATATTGAGAATATATAAAGAACTAGAACTCCTACTACTCACAAACAACAGCAAACCAAAACCTGATTAAAAAATAGGCAAAGAACTTGAATGGACATTTCAGATGTCTTTGTACTCGTATATCAAAAAGGACGTACAAATGGTCACTAAGGTCATGAAAAGATGCTCAACATCATTAGTCATCAGGGAAATACAAATTGAATCCACAAGACACATTTTTGTACCCACTAGGATGGCTAGAAACAAAAAGTCAGATAATAAGTGTTGGTGAGGATGTGGAGAAGTTGGAACCTTGTACACTGCTGGTGGGAATGTAAAATCGTGCAGCTACTTTTGAAAGCAATTTGGCTGTTTTACTCAAAACTATTAAAAATGGAGTTATCATGTGACCCAGCAATTCCTCTCCTAGATGGAAGGAAAACGAACATGTGTTCACTCATGCACTGATGTTCCTAGCAGCATTACTCACAATAGCCAAAAGAGGGAAACAACCCAGATGTCCACCAATTGATGACTGGATAAATAAAATGTGGCATATCTATGTAATGGAATATTATTTGGTCCTAAAAAGAAATGAAATACTGATACATGCTAGAACATGGATGAACCTTGAAAACATTGCATTAAGTGAAAGAACCCAGACATGAAAGACACATGCATATTGTATGAATCCATCTATATACGATGTCTAGAACAGGCAAATCCTGGTCAGAAAATAAATCAGTGGTTGCCAGGGGCTAAAGGGAAGGGGACTGGGGAGTGACTGCTAAGGGGTATGGGGGTTTCCTTTGGGGGTGTTGAAAATGTTCTGGAGTTAGATAATGGGGATGGTTGCACAACTTTGTGATTATAACGTTATTGAATGTTACACTTATATGAGTGACTTATACGACAGGTTAATTATATCTCAAAGCTGTTTAAAAAGAAAAACAAAAAGAAAGCAAGGGAATGAAACCCCCAGATGAGGGTGTGCTGGCCGGCTGAGGAAGAGGCCAGGTGTACATGACTGACAGTCTGGAATCCTTGTGCTGGGCATCCGCATATTATTAGCCACAGGCCCTACGGATTATGGAACGGCAGGCGGAGAGTGTCCTAAACTAGGGCCAGGAGTCCTTGGCTGGTGTGCACCTGAAGGTCCAGGACATGGGAGGCCGCGCCCTGGCAGCAGGTGGTCGACGCGCGCCTCCGAGCGCCGGGGCGGGGCGGGGCCGGCGCGCGCCCAAGCCAGCTATGCACGCGCCCAGGGCCCGAGGGGGTGTGGCGCGGGCGCGCGCGGGTCCCAGGGTTGCTGGAGGCAGCGGGTGGGGAGCAGGGGGAGAG